GGGTTGTGAGGTTCATAGCTTGCCTCTCATCGTGCATCTTGTTCCATTATTTCTGATTGGATGAGACGCGGCATGCTGGGAGTCTAAAGGTCGTCCAATGACGAGCTGTCAAAATATTGATGACTGAGTTGGACCAAACCTTTTTTTTTTTACCAGTAAAAATCCATACCTGTCCTGCACCAATTTATCAAGTCATGTTTGATTATATGCTTATACTTTTTCTAAACTTCATTTACATATTAATTCTGACAAAACAACATTTAAATGTAAATAGCAGCACGTGTCACGTCATGTTTATTAGCTCTGACAGACCGGATGGTGTTGCTCATGTTTATGCATTAACCGACTACTTTTTCCTCCCTGCGCTGATGCGGATTGAAATACTCGCAAAGCATTCAGCCCTGTCTTCGGCACAAAGCCTTCTTTCTTCCAGCAAGATCTATACATTTCCTATTTTTTACAAGTTCTTGCTTGAAAGCCACTGTTTCCCCTCCGAAAAAAAAAAAAAACCCTCTTTGTCAGTCTGAAAAAAATCTGCAACATGCAGCTCCCAAGACTGTGATCAGAGAGGAATTCAACCGGAGAATCTCCTGTGAACAGTAGAAAAGTGTGACAGGAAATAAAACCAGGACATTCCTGTCTAGGTATAGCTGAATCGTACGACGCGCTTCCTGAGAGAGAGAGGAGACTATGAGACAAAGAAATGAGTCGATTAAGGACAGAGATTTAGAGACAGAGAGAAAGAAACATCGACTCTAAGGAGAGCTGCTGTACCAGGAGCGAGGACTCGTCCGCTGGCTTTACATTACACAGTTTGAGTGACCTGAACACGCCAATAAATCCACCACCGGCAACACTCACACTGTGAGGTATAAATGTCAGCAGTGGAAGGGAGTAATAGCTCCTTGTCAACAAGATTGAATATTCAGAAGTTAATTCATTTCTGCTGCAACAGGGCGATAAAGGCAGAGGGAGGGAGATCAATAGAGAGAACCTATTTTAGGTGATCGATATCGGGAGATGACATTTATATCTCCTGGATATTTATAGCGTCAAGAAAAGGTGTGCAAACGAGGGGGGGGGCGGAAGGAAAAGCAGGTCGAGCCGAAGCAGCGCGGATGAATCCGAGCTCACAACACATGCTCACACTCACTTTGCACACCATGGCTGTCTAAACCCTCGTTCTCCACCACCAAACCACAGAATCGTTTCCAGTTGATGGCGAAGCCAAGGCTTTTCCACATGCAAGCATTTTTTTTTTCTCCGACAATTTGCCAAATGCTTCCTTTAAGGATGTCCATGTGTTTTACTTGGTCACCGGCTGAAGACGTGCACGGGGGCCAAGGCTCCCTCTCCCAGCTCAAAGACGCAGACAGCGCTTTGACACGAGGAGCTCTGTCAGAGAATACATGTTTTGAGTGATACTTTCCAGCCCAGCTTCAGATGATATTGTTGGCTTTACATACAAACGCTTCTGTTTCAAATTGATATATGTGATTCACCGGGTACTTAACGTGCAATTACACCAAATGAATAATATTTTTAGAACAACATATGATATGTGGAAGTACGGAGGAGGCAGGAGGGCAGAAAGGGAGAGAGGAAAGGACTGTAGGAAGGCACAGGGAAGTCAGATGTGTCTACTACAACACATGGGGACAGCTCAACGTTGAGATTTGTCAATCAATTCGGATAGAGGGCTTTGTCGCCTCAATGCAAACACATGTCGCTTTAGAGCATATTGCTGAAACGATTCCGTCGATTTTTGGGGAGAACAGTCTCTGAGTCGTATCCGACTCAATACGTGGATATATTTTATACAATCAACTTTTTTTTTTACTAATAAGATGAGCTACTCCACAATCTTTCCACGTCCTCCATGGCAAAAAAAAATAAATCGCTTTGACTCTTGGTGCTTGTCCGTAGGCCAGTGAACTACGTCGCCCCTGGGTACAATAAGCTTCCCTCATAGCAGTAAAGGTTGAGTTGCAGGAATACTGAAGACAAGAGGGTGGCTGCTGTTGACTAATGCTTCACAAGTCCTTGTTTAACTGCGACCGGGGGCCTAATCCCTCTCAGCAACTCCGCACGTCCCTGAGCTGTCCGTGTTAATGCCTGACCTGTCACGACACTGGTCCAATTCACACAGTGTTGACACGAGCTGTCGGCGGATTAGTACGGAGCAAAAACACATGTTTCATTATGCCTTCAAAAGAGAAAGGAGAGGAAGGGAAAAAAAGAGAAGTGAACACGTCATGTCTGTGTTCAGAGAGCACAAGGTGAGGTCAGTTTACCATCAACAGACAGCAGTAAAAGGAATGTGTTATGGTCGCTGGTCCTCTCATCTTCAGCCGTTTCTAGTGTTCTGCTTTGTCACAATTCAGATAATTACAGATCCTAGAGCGTGCGGCTTCAACTAAAAATGCATGTCATCAAACGTTTGGGTCTTATCCACACACTTGTTAGATTAAATAAGAGCAAATCCAAAACTCATCCAGTTTAACGTATCTGTTTAGTTGGTCAAATACAAAAGCGCAAGTACGTTATTGTGCAAAGCAATGGCATCATTTCCAACGGAGAGAGTGGGAGGTAGCATTGTGTACTGATTTTCCACCAGGTTATGCAGCCAAAAGTTGAACTAAATTGACCTCTGACCCACGCTGACCTCCATCACGTGCGGCCAATGAGATTACTGGCACTGGAAGGATTCTGAAGTTATGACGGCCATGATTTACTAAAGAGAGGAGAAGCGGCAGAAAAGTTAATTTGTGCTTTTCTGAATTCAGGAAGTTCTGTAAATCTGATCCCATCGGGAAAAATCTGAAGCCTGGCAGAAAAGATTAGATGGGATGAGGATACGAGGTTAGAGGATACATTTTGAGATTGTTTAGTAGTCTAGTCCCTGTAGTCTATAATATCAGACAGCTGCGTTATTTCCTGCCAAATACTTCGGGGGAGACATGACAGTCTCACAGTTAACCTCTTAGGGCAGTAATGATAGAAATGCTGAAATTGAAGCTGATTTGTGCATCATCTTATATTCCCTAAACTCCAACAAGTTATACAGATCTGAAATAGTACTCAATTGATTAGTTGACCCACGGAAGATTCTACTTATTTTCCCAGCAATACTGCCAAACATTCACTGATGTTGGTTGCTCAAATGTCTGCTGATTGTATGATAGTTAAGTTATGGACTAAATCACTCATAACTGCATCATCACACATGCATTGGACATGCAGCAGGAAAACCCCGTCCTCCTCCTCTTCCTGAAAACCACACTGAGTAGAACCAACACACACGCACACACACTTGAATCTCTGATGTCGCTTAGTGCTGTTCCACCTGAGCCTCGCAGGGAACCAATCATTACCCGGCTGTATTGATCTCTCACAGCCTCTCTCTGTCTTCTTCTCTCAAACCCCGTTTTCCCCCCCTACCACACCTCCAACGTTCTCCTCTCTCTCTCTTCTACTAGTCTCTTCATCAAACCATCATTTACTCCCCGGATCTTTTTTTCCTTATTCTCCCTCTGTAATAGTGTTCCCCTGTTCCTCCCTCTCCGCCTCTTCTCCTCTCATCCCTGTGCTATCAGAAATATCAGATATCAGTCATTTCCAGCCTAAAAACAGGGAGGTTCCTCTGACCACGGCTGTTTAAAAGCATTCTTTAAAGCACTTTTTAGTTCATCAACTAAGACTAACGAATCTCTCTGCATGCTGCTGTCCTGAAAACAACGTCACGTGTCTGGGTTTTATTGTAAAAATGTAAGGCAAAAGAAATACGTCTGTCAATCTTTTAAAAAAAACACATTTCGGCTGATCCTCAAGCAAACACCTGACAGAGGGGTCATCCACACTACCACCATCCACAACAACCCATCCTCCCTCTGTGATCAGGCTGGCGGTGAGGCCCTCCGGGGACCAACATTGGACACTTAGGGAAGCAGCGCGTCAGCTCAATAAATAGCAATTTATTGGCAGGGGACTGAATACGCTGCCATCCTTGGAGGCTATCAGCGGAGCGTCTTATTGGTGCTGAGGGATATTAATGAAGAGGGGAGAGAGAGAGAGACTGATCACACCACGCATGAGATGATGCGTTTGCGGGCACCAAAACATGCTTCGCGTGGGCTAATGAGTGCAGAGTGTATTTGAAATAGCTCTGCTGCTGTTACATCATGCTCGGGCACTAATATGTCGTCATTTACTGTTTTAAAGGAACTGGAAAACACACCATAATAAGCGGACGACAACATGTGAAGAGGCCACCTGAAGCGCCGACATTAGTTTAAAAAAAAGAGTGGAAAAAAAAGTTCTTGACGTGTATGGCACTAAAAAGTGGGAAAAAATAACTGCTCACATCTCAATCTTAAATCCTCATACTGTATCCTCACCATTTATTAACGTTTATGTTTCAACACTCTTTTCAGTTTGAGGATGAAACAGATTCCAAAGACACACAATGAGATTTAACTTTGTTCAGACGTTAGCCACCCCGACGAGATCTACGAAAAACACTTATGTGCAATTGTTGATGATAAAAAAGAGATATAATGCACATTACAGAGAGGAAGTCATAATAAATCTTGAAGAATCTAAAGAAGAAGAGGGGTCTTCTTTTGGGGGTGCACATGTCTACTTGCAATGCATGACCTGATTTCACTAAAAGACATACAATGTATAACCCAACAGGAATAAGATCATTACATCGTTGAATTAATTCATCTTAAATCAATTCCTCCAGCTTAATAAACTAGAAAATTAAAAAAGGCTTCTGTGCATCTTGAGGGAGAAAGGGAAAGGTTTAGCTTCTGGAAAGTGAAAGTAAGCAGCTTTAACTTCTAATCAGGCGTCCTTGACTTCTGTCCTGAACTTTGACCCTCACAGTTCATTACTCCGGTAATTTCCCGGTTTCGAGACAGCAGGGCACCGCCTGATTTTCAGTAAATATTGAATTAATTGGTGTATCAGTTAGTATAAAAAAACAAACTGCCTACCTGTACCAGTCCAGTCCCTTGTCGTAGAAACGGTCAAAGAAGTGCGGCTCAGAGCCGACGGCTCTCACGTCCGGATGGATGCGCAGGAACTCCAGCAGAGCCCGCGTGCCACCTTTCTTCACCCCGATGATGATGGCCTGGGGGAACTTTTTGCTGCCGAAATTGTTGGCTATAGAGATGTTGTTAGGTGGACCGTCGCTGTTCGACAAGTCCGACAGCTGCTCGCGGACGACCTGAGACGCGTTATACGCGCCGAGCGTCTGCGCTGACAGCTCGTGTCCATCATCGACGGTGATTCTGTGTTGAATATTGCTTTGCTGGTCGTAAACGGGCCTGGGCAAGGAGTCACAGTATCCGTTGAGGCAGTAAAAGAGGTAAGTGAAGAGAATGATCATGGCCAAGAAGACGGACAGCTTGGACTGCACCCTCAGGTGTCCAAAGTTGAACGCAGCTCTCCATTTACTACATCCCATGAGTCGCACTCCAGAGCACGAGGACACAACGCAGGAAACATACCACATCAAAAGACTTCATACTTCTAAAAGTCCCCTGAGTGCTTTTTCACAAAAAAGAATTAAAAAAATCACAGCGCTCGTGCCACAACAGCAAGTGGCGCAAAACATGCTCCCCCGCGCGTAAAAGAGCTCTGCATGTTCCTCAGTTTATTTTGCTCGCCCTTTGACTCTCTGTCTCTCTCTCCTCTCACTTTCTCTCGTCAGCTCGTTATCGAAGACAACTTGTAGATATTTTTCAAGAACTCGAGCAAAGTCCCAGCGAGGCTCAGCTGAGAGGTGGCTGTGCGTTAACTTCCCTCAGCGCTCCGTGCTTTCTGTGCGCTCCCGTGGTTCCTCGGCAGGCAGAGGGCTCTGTAGCAAAAAAAACAAAACACGACACCCTTTTTCCCGTCTGACTGCCAAATCCACGCCCTGTTTCTCAAACACACGCCCCTTCCATCCTCGGCCCGTGCGACACTGCAATAACAGCGAGCAATGATTAACTTTGCACCCACTCCAAGATGTCAGAGAGGGAGAAACTCTCATAGCCTAAATATCTAATTATATTCAGTCATTAGTTTAATTGCATTTAATGCTTCGAAAGAGGAGGGAAATATCTGGAACATGATGAAGAGGGGATATTAGTTTTGATTGCGGACTGAGGATGCAATTCCTTCTTTAAATAATCCACTTTGAGACAGTCTGAGCTCCAGGTTGTTTCTTGCCCAAATTGCTCGCTGGGGACGGGGCTCGTGTCCACCTGCTGTCTGCTGGCCCTCCTGACCACACACCACCATGGAGCCAGGCATGACGCACACATTTAGCCTTTACACTCCTGCCCCACAGGGACAGACAGGTGTCATCAGCTTCCTCTAATTTCTTTCTCCCTGTGTGTGTGTGTGCATGTGTGTGTGTGTGTGTGTGAGACCAGTTAACTGATAATAGACTCAGACCATCATCAGTCTCTCTCCACCATTATTTGCAGTGTAGGTAAATATTGATAAATAATTAAGACCAAAACAACAATTCAACATTTTTGTTTTGTTTTAAACATTCGCAAGAGTTTAAGTAAAAAAAGAATTAGCCGTCATATGAGACAATTGCTGATATGCAGTTTTTGGAACCAGATCCTATTTACGTCCTGGAAATCCAGACATTTGTTCCTGAATCTTGCCAAGAAAGCCTCAGGACACAGATTATATTTTCAGCGATGACACGGACGAGATGAACTGTCCGGATCGCTCCCTCCTTGTACACTCTACTGGTGTACTGGAGGTGTAGCCTGCTGCAGTGAAAAACATAAAGTCAGCCCTGTTTTATTTGTGCAACCCTTTTCCGTTGGGAACGTGCAACTGTCTGCTCTTTTTGATTTATATTATGAACCCATATGATCCCAATATTTCCCCGCAGCAGTGCACACATGATATCATGACGAAAAAGTCACTCCTCATTTTTCGTGCGTTTATTAACAAAAGTCCAGCAACATGTGTCAATGTCCCTTCATGCTGTGTTTATAAAATAATCTTCCATCTTTACAGGAAACCACAGTACGTTAGATTTAGTACTAGATCGTGAAATACTTGGTTAGGTTTAGACAACAAAACTGTTGACTTCTCACTTCACAAGGAGCACGAACAGCAATCAAGACAGTTTTTTGTCTGAGGAAGTAGCTATATTTAATCATGTTGGAATGAAAAAACAAAACAGATATAGCCTACATTTAGTCCTTGTGAAATATGAACTGTAAACAGATCAAAAACAATGTTGGTTTGAAACTAATTTGTCAAAATGGAGAGCAAAAATAGCAACAAAAAAAAAGGTTCCAAAACACACAGAAACCTGAAAAGACCAGACTGCAACAGAGCGGCAGCTCAATTCTTCACAGGTTTGTCTGAGGGAGTGCAAACATCTGTCACATTACTAGATTTTCAGTATTGTTCTCGCTGCTGTTCTTTGAACCACACTTGGGTTCCTTGTACTAATGGTTGAGGAGATGACATTATGCTTGATGTACTGTGGAGTTGGTAGGATTCATTGTGCCATCGTGGAGTAATACAGGACTGACCGAACCCATAATGAGCCTTCAGTGTCAGACGGTTCTGAAATGGAGGCTTCTGGATACCAAACCTATTTTCCCAAAATAGTTTTTGACAATATATGTGTTACAGTATAAATCACAAGTTATTGGCACTTTCGCCCTCTCTGTTGAAATACAAGTGAGGTGCTACATGGCAGCACATCCATATGGATGATAAATCTGAGGGGGATGACAATATCTATCGACCCAGGCCTTCTCCATCCTGGCAGTATGTCAATTTCCCCAAGTCTCTAAACAGAGAAGGCATCATTTACCCTTCTGTACTCTCCGAGCACTCCTCCATATTGATCCGCTGTGATGTTGAAAAACAATCGGAGACGTGCCACCCTGTAGTCAAAGTGATCAATAATGTGGGCTTGCTTTGTTTTGTTTAATGTGTACCATACTGTGTACTGTGTTGTCTTTTCTTCAAGTGCGAGGTTGAAAGAATTTTGCTTTTTTTGAAGGCAGTTTTATGCCAAAGTGGCTCATATTTGTCTGTTTGTCTGCAAAATATATTTTAATAAGGGCCCTCTGCCTTTCTAACATCTATATGGGATGCGAATGTGAATTTACAAGCTAATTGTCAGCTTTCGTCTCCATTTTGTTTTTAAAATTAACTTTATTTTGTTTACTATTTATTAAGATGCCAGCTGAGATGCCGGTTACGCTTCTCTGTTAAACTAGTTAGCTTTAGCCTGAGTTTTGCGTTAGCTAGGTGTTTCTTTTCCACCATGACTGAAATGGAGTCATTTAGTTTTGTTAAAAATAACTGATTTTATCAAGATAAGATATCATTTTATCAACATTTATATGTTTTGCTACAAATACCAATAGGGGGGAAATGATTACGTAAATGTAGTTTTAGCTGTGGCTAAGGCTAGACGTGGCTATGTGTCCTGCTAGCTAACTTTTGATTTAGCTCTCTTGTTTTAGCTTCATTCTGTGACAGAGAGTCCAGTAAATGTAGTTTCCATACAGAATACATTTAGATTTGGTTTTTAGCTTTTAAAAAGCTTTCCCCAGGATTTATATATTTTGATTATGTGTTGATTTAGCAAAACAGATGTCAAATGTCATACTCAGGTCTTTACTTTATCTAAATATCGATAAGATATTTGCTTTTCTAGGCAAAATTCAGCAACATTTTGTATCAGTACTGGTCATATTTGAATTTGAACATTTATGTTTCTTTTTCTTGTTTTTTTTGTTGGTACACATAAATGCCATAGTGGGATACAAAACTGAATTAATGCTATCATGAGATACTTGAGTTAAACATAAGTCATGACATGAAATATATGCTATAATTGGTTCATCAATAACATGGGCAAAAGGAGAAAACAATCTCCGGGTTATTATTATAGCCCACTATATTGTAGCTGCAGACAAAAAGAAACTTATATCTGCAGTGTGTGCTACATATTTAGGCCGATATCAGCTATCATGTGCAGTATCCGTCTAATCCTGAATGACAGTCTAATGTATGGGAACTTCGCTTCCTTCGACAGTTTACAGTGGAACACCTGAATAAAGGCATTCCCACACACACACACACACACAGACCTGTATCTGTAAATGACATCGTCGGTGTTGAATTCCTACCCACCTGTGTAAGTCTGTGGCTGTGGGAAGGCAGACAGCTGTACAAAGCCCAGCAGTGACTGCTGTGCGCTGTAATCCTCAGTAAAGTCCCCGTGATGACCTGCGGCGGCTGCTTCAAAGCCTTTCTCAATACAGACTACCCAAAGCTCGGACATGTTGAAGTTCAACACGGAAGTCCAAACAACTGTACCTCGCTGTACTGTGACAAAATATTCTCAATTTGAAAGGTAAATGTTATCTTCTAAACGGAATTATAGAATTAATCAAAACCTTAAGAAGGCATCAGGGCCAGTGCAGGGCTTAAATGAGACTGATCTACTCGGGGGGACAACAGATGTTGACCAATCCACATGTACAGAAACGTCAGAGAAATTTCCAAATAGGCATTATTTGGGTAAACTGACCACATATTCGAAATGTAAATAACTTGCTTACATTAAAAAAATATAAAAACTTGACATTAGTCCTCGTGAGAAAAAAAACGTGTTCTCTTTTTGAAGTTAGTCTCACTTTATATTTCTGTCAAGTAACAGTTGGTGATGGGGTTGCAGACATTTCCCTCAGAGGTCGAGAAATTCAATGCATTTTAAACCAATGCATGTGTTACCACGGACTTTCTGCTCTGTGTCTCTTTTAATTTAAAAGGCTTTCTGTTTACTCACAATAGCTAATCCCCTCACTGTTTCGGGTCAAAGTGAATACACCCGACTTCTCAAGTTGTCCAGAAGGGTGTTGTCATTGTCCCGCAGGAGAATACAGAGCATTGTCCCAGTATTGTACCGGATCACTGAGGATACAATGCAGGCGACGAGCTACGGAAGAGCTGATCTTCAAATGGCCTGTTAACTCACCTGGATGGAATGTGCCTCACACACACACACACACACACAAACACACGCACACACACACATACACACAAATGTGTCACCAAACTCCCCCAGACCATCATCATTAATGGCCAGCACGGATTAAAGGATGACTTACATGCAGGGTTTTTTTTTTAGTCCAAAGTTCAGGAAAAGCTGTTACACTTTCCAAGCTGTTCTCCTGATAACTGATTGCACATGTCAGCAGCAACCACAGCTGATGTTAGATGATAAGAAGATAAGCAGTAAGGATCACATTAGAACACTTGAACACCATGAATGGGAACACCGGGAAAACTTATTCTGACTTGGGTTTTGGCAATTGCTGATCTTGTGGTCTAACCAGACCAATGGAAATAAGCCTATAGCTACACATTTGTAACAGTTTCCAGAGGTGGAAAGAGTACTAGAATATTGTAATTAAGTAAAAGTACTACTTTATTGAAAAAGTATCCATTTAAAAATTGTACTAAGTAAAAGTAGGTTAAAAGGGGTGACGATATAGTGCTAAATTAAATAACATAAGCTACAAAATAGATTGCATTACATGTTAACTTACACACAAGTGGAACAACATCAGCAACAAGACCCCTTATGTCCAAACCAACTGACCTCTCTGCACCCTGTGCTTACAGCTGATTATCAATTATGAATATTTAACCACCTTCCTCACTGTAGCCTCACAAGAATTAACCAGAAAAGAGAAAAACACTGGACACGACGGCGCCTCAAACTTCTTTTAGAATCAAAGCAGACAACGCAGACATGTATAAATATCGACGTTCTCATCTGGAGAGTTC